TACACAAACTCGTAAATAACATTAGTAAGTGTTCATGTGTGTGTGTGTGTTTGTAGTACCAATACACATTCCATTACAACAAAAAGGTTAATTTACATCTGGGCATAAACAATAAAAGTTCATTTAAATTGAATACTTTGCTTTGCCAAAAATGCCGAAGTTGGTTCCTTCGAATTTCTTTGGAAACTTTTGCTTCGTTTCGAGTTGGCTGGCAAACACGTTAACAGTTCGCCAACGCGCAAGTTGGTTGCAGGAAAACGGAACTGGTGATGTAAAGCCTTCATAACCTTTCCAAATGAATACAATAATCAATCAAAGATGTTGGCTGATGTACCGAGTGCTGGATAATAAGTTGTCTGTCAAAGATTTGGCACAGATTTCAGAATGCTAGTTTAACATTTTGCCTTCACGCGTTGGAAAGTTTTTAAAAGTAAAGTCATTAATCGCCAGAAAGTGTCAATGAAGTTTGTTTAAACTTTTTAACTGATTACGTTACAAAAAAGTTCACACAGTGACTATTAAAACTCTTCAAATTTAAATGCAATACATATTCGGTGGAACAATAGAAAATATGATGAATTACTCATTAATATATGTATGTGTAAATGTGGTGGTTTTATGGATATATGAGTCATTGATGAAAAGGAACTAAGAACTAGATCAAACAAGTAAAAATGCATTAAATTTGTACCTTCAACGATAAGTTAAAGAAAATCATTAAAAATAAAAGAATCGGGATTGCAATAAGAGAATAGAGATTCATTTTTTTTTTTTAAATAGAAGTCGGTAATTAAAAAGTCTTAGAAATGCCAATTTCAAATACCAAATAAAACAAACAAAAAAGCAGATAAGTCCGGCTGGGCCGAAATTTGGAAGGAACTTGAAAATTTTCAAAAAAATTCCGAAAAGTACCACTGAAATGAAAACCGTTATATGGGGGTTATGCGAATACGTGGACCTGCATACGATTTTTTTTTGTTTGCCACAGGCTGTTGTGGGCATTAAGAAAATCCAGTACGAAATACGACATGATTCCGGTGAATAATGTTGCTGAAATCATCAAAATACCGATTACCTGCATCAAAATACAGGACCTGCAAACAAACATTTTTGTCATAGGCTGTAGTACCCATTACGAACTTCAAATATGAAATTTGTGGGGTCTAACATGAGTATTACAAGGAGTAACAAACGGAATGACAAACTTATACCTCCATAGTATGGTGGAGGGTATAAAAACTGTTAAAAATGTGCCTAAAATCACCAAGCTACCAAATATTCAAAAGTACCGCCTCATGAGTAATATGGGAACCATTGAGCCTATCTGCCACAGAAGACAGAAACATATGCATATCAAATTTTAAAAAAGTGGCTAAGATAATGCCGGAAATACCGAAATATGGGGGATATAGCAAAACAATTCCCGATAGAGGCAATGAAGTGTCACAGAAGGTAGAACCCCTATGAAATTTAAATCATCATAACCCCTATGAATTTTAAATATGAAAACGTGGACCTATGTACATATACAATGTTCTGCCTCAAGAGGCAGAACCGTTGCAAACTCATGGTGCCGAATATTAAACAATGCCGTTATAAAATTTACTCAAAATCAAAATTTCGATTTAACGGAATTGTGAAGTATTCATTGCATACATTTAATTTCGTTAGATCGTCCAAATACCGATTTGGCTGAAAATTAGTATTTTGGTATCTCCGTGTAGAGAAAACTTTCCGACTGAATATGATTATTATAAATAAAATTTTTAAAAAGGTTTATGACCCTGGGAATTTAAATAAACCCAGTTAAGGCCAAATCGTATTCTAAATACGATTTCTACATAATAAGAGATCACAATTCCCAAATTGGAAAAGATGTTAAAAACATAAAAACCAAACCAATGATTCTGGGTGTAATCCAAATTTAATTTAAATATTACAAAATATATCTCAAATTGCAAGGGTACCGTTTAACATTGTCAAAATTATATAAGACCTTACCAACATTTGCCCCCAAGAACCCAGGATTTCTTTGGGGTTCTGATCTAAAAACGGGTACTATAAGTCTATTTGTCATTTTCCACAACACAAACCGGATATTGTAAAGTGAAATTATAAGAAAATTAGCGGTGAGTTGAAGAAAAGTGCTAGTTTTTCAGAAATAAACAAGCTTTTATATTAGCAAAAATATATTATATTTTTTTTAAATATACATAAGTATACAAATTTCTGTTGCGTTGTTGTTAAAGGGAGATTTGACTCGTATTGGATACGTGTTAAATTAACAGCTAAGAAGCATACATAATTTTCACTTTTTAATGTAATTTGCATAAAACCTATTGTACCTTGATATATTGTTTATTCTGAGATTAATAGTGAAATTTTGGTTAGAATATTTCTTCTTTTGACATTTTCCGACTTGAACAAAATTGTATGTTACTTTCAAGCGTAAAGAATATTTTGACTAGTTACGATATCGTTTAAAGTAAGCTTTTTACTATATTAAAAAAAATACCAAAACGACCCCTTGATTGATTCGCTTCACGATTAAAATTTTTAACCAATATTCCCCCTATATTTTATCTGCAATTTTATTATTAAAATTATACTATTAAAAAAAATTATATTAAAAAAAATACCAGAACGACCCCTTGATTGATTCGCTTCACGATTAAAATTTTTAACCAATATACCCCCCAATGTTTTATCTGCAATTTTGCCTAAGACACTATATATAAAATGTATAGTATCCAAAAAATCTTCATCTGAAAATTTCCAAAAGTGTGGAAGAGCGGGAAATTTCCTCTTCTATTTTGGTTACTTTTCCAAGTAAACTTTCAAAACGCCGATACCATACATAGTATGGAGGGTATTCGTTCTCATTCTGTTTGTAACTCATCGAAATAATCCTTTTAGACATAACAAAGTATTTATTCGTGATCAGCGTAAAATTTTAAGACGTCCGTCCGTCCGTCTGTTTTAATCACAGAGTCAAAACAAATAAACATAGGAAGCAAAAATTTTGTACAGATCAGTATTTTATGTGGAGGCATGTTAAGTTCGAAGATGGGCTATATCGGTCCACGATATCGTATAGCCCCCATACAATTGTACCCCGATATTCGGTATTTTGATGATTTTAGCCACATTTTCTAATGGCATTGTTTGAATATATACACAAGGAGTTCTTTCCGAGTACTTTACCCCTTGGAAGAGAATTTTTCATATAGGTCCACGATATCGTATAGCCCCCATACAACGGTACGCCCCGATATTCGGTGTTTTAATGATTTTAGCAAAATTTTTCAATAAAATTGTCTGAAAGTCTACATAAGGATTTCCTTGTGAGTACTTCATCCCTTGAAAGATTATTCTCTATATAGGTTAACCATATCGTTATCCCCAGTGTGACGGTAGCAACATTTTTAAATTAAATTGTTTAAAAATCCATACTAGAATTTCTTTCTAAGAGCTTTACTCCCAGGAAGAGAAATAAATATCAAGGTATCGTATAGCCCACATACAACGGTACCACCCGATATTCGATATTTTACGATTTAAGGGACGTTATTTACCGGAGTTGTTTCAAATTGCGTACCTAGAATTCGTAATGGGTACTATAGGCTATGACAGAAAATTGTCTATGCAGGTCCAGGCCTTCGTACAAGCCCCATATATCAGTATCTCCTCATTTCTTCATTCATAGTTTGCCGGTTTTGCCGCATAATATTTTTTTGAGTTGCACAGTGCTTTATATATATATATATATATATATATATATATATATATATATATATATATATATATATATATATATTAAAACAAATTAATAAAACTGAAAACACTTTTTTGCCGATTTCTCTAACATCTAGATGTACTCGATTTTTGGATAGATTGCAATGTGAAACCCACATTTATGATTCCACAGGAACAACTTACATGGTTTTGGGCTTATCTCTTTCAAATTGTGAATAAATTGGATTTATAGGTAGAAAGAAGAGCCCAGAATAAACTGGGCTTTCGTCAATCTGCACGCGTTTTCCGACAATTTTAAGGTTTGAAATGGAATTCGTTAGTTAAAATAAAATTTTGATCAGAAAGACTCGCTAATATTATTTTAAAATTAATGCAACTACAATTTATTTAAGAAGAAAATAGATAAAATGAATGAATATATATGATATTATTTTCACAAATTTCAAATGTTGTTGTTGTTTCAAATGGACAAAACCAAGAAATTTCCGACATAACATGCGTATTACAAATAGATTAGTCATCTAGCCAAAGCCGTCAAAAGTTAGTATAATTACCCAAGAGGGACAATTTTTAGATCTCCTTTAAGATTCTTAGGCATCTTCTAAAATATTGAAGAGGTAAATTCTTAAGAAGTGTTAAATTCTGTGTTCGGATTTAAATTTATTTCCCTTCCTTTAGAGACACTTTCAAATGTTTCAATATTGTCAACATAATTTTTTAAATAACCTAATTATTAAATGCATAGTTTAAGCTTTAAATGATCGCCTCTGTAGACTATCTACAAAGAACTATCCTATAGTACCATATATCGATTGTTTTTCCCTTTTTCTGAAAGATTCTTCGAGACTCGTCGTAACAAATTTATTGTATTTAAAATATAAAAGGATAAACTGCATAAAAGTTAATCTCTTGCCTTTAGATTTCTTTGCACTAAGGCAACACTGTTCAACACCGCCGTTACGCAAGAAACGTAAAACCATTTCCATCGTTATTCTCTTAGAGTTCATTAAACACACATATGTGCGTATGTAGTGAGACGAAAACTTTATACAATTTACGATAAAGCCTCATTAATACTTTTATTGACTTAAATTGCTGGCAAAGTATAATAATTTAGTGTCAGTCCATTATTATTAGGCTCGGTCTTGGCTAATGTCGTTATTGTGTTTCGGCTCTTTAATAAATAATGAATAAATAGGCCTGCAAGCATTCAGCGAATGAAATCTACATACACACATACATACCTTGTTCGGAGGTAAAGTTCAATGTCTACAAAGAGAGAAAAAACAAAGTAAGTAGAGATGGTGATGGTGGTGGTAAGAAACGTGTCTTTTTTTGGGCATTAGCAAAATTTGCATATTGTAAATATGTATGTATGGCTGTAAGTGGTATTGGTGAAGAATCAAACGTATTAACAGAGAAATATGTTTGTATGGGTGTGTATGCGTGTAACATAAATAATCAAATTGTGGAGCATGTTGATTTCCATATTTTATCAATTCCCAGACCCTGGAACAGTTCCTCTCCGTTCACTTTGAACCTTGCGAAGAAAGTTTACACTCTCGATTATTAATGTGACTTTTATTTATTCCTTGGGGAGTTGCAGTCGAACCCTCATAAAACATTTCTGCCCAGAAAACCACAAAGTACGAAGACACATCCCCAGTGTAAGTGAAATGTTAATATTCCGGGCCAAACTTTGGCGTTTTGGTTTTTGTGGTTTTGCCGGCTGTCAAAGAATGTCGATTAAAAAATTCCAAAGTTGCAAATACCAAATTCCTGACAAATAACATAATCTCTCATCCAATATTTGCTAGTCGTTTTTTTTTCTACTGTCAAGATAATAGCAGATAAGAGGCTATATCAATAGATATTTAAAAATATATTATATGTAATGCACAGCTACCAGTAAAAGATTTAAACTTTCTTCTCCTGGATGTGGTGAAAGCCTCGAACGGCTGATGTCATGCATATTTGTGTTGTAACCACTTCTGGTCAGTGGGCAAACGGAAGAATATCTCGGCAAAGTTTTTAAATAAGTCATAAACTTGGCTGGTCGTCGGCTATTGCTGAAATGGATGTTGACTTTCGGAAAAACGAACTTTTTCACTTTGCTAGATGGCTTTAAAGCATTTCCGTGTTCGGCATGACAGTTGTGGTGGACATTAAGTACGAACGAAGTTTGTGATATACGAGCATTTAACAGTAATACATTCCCAAAATAACTGTTAATGGTAATGTCAGCAATAAATGCATATCCATGAGAGAATTTAAATGGAATGTTTTTTGAAATCTAAGTATGAACATGTTCATATATTCATATACGGAGGTCGGTTATGTTCATTTTTTTGCGATATTCAGAAGCTTAGCACAAAAAAGCTACTCACATGATTTTGACAAATTAAATTTGTCTAATCAAGTCTTTTGCCTTTTATGATATAATTCTTTGACAGTAATAGTTAGACTTTTTTATACCCTTTTATATATATATATATATATATATATATATATATATATATATATATATATATATATATATATATATATATATATATATATATATATATATATATATATATATATATATATATATTATTGATAAGCATAAAATTCTATTTAGCGATGTCCGTCCGAGCGTCTGCCCGAGTGATTGATAAAATTTTACTCAAATGTATATTATATCTCCAGGACTTTTGGTATTGAAAATGGGCCATGTAGGTCTACGTTTTGGTTTTTGGTATAGCCCCCATATAACGGCACCTCCGATATTCGGTATTGTGATGATTTTAGCGACATTATTTACCGGAATTATTACAAATTTTGTATTTGAAGTTCGTTTTATAACCCCAATAATAATCCCTATATTCAATATTTTGATGATTTTAGCTACATTATAAACTGATTTTTTCAAGTTTCTCATTTGAATATTGTAATAGCTTATGACAAAAGTTACCCATGCAGATCCACGTCGTCGTACAGATCCTAATATACGGCTGTGTTCGGTATTTTTATACCCTCCACCATACTATGGAGGGTATATTAATTTTGTCATTCCGATTGTAACTGCTCGAAAAACTCATGTCTGACCCAACAAAGTATATATATATATTCTTGAAGCCGATGGGATCTCCAGCATCACCAATAATTGCAGATTTGGTTATGGAATCATTGCTCAACGAAAGCTTGCAAAGATTACAATCAAAACCAAAGATACTGACGAAATACGTGGATGATTTGTTTTTAATTATAAGGGAAGATGCAATACAAGAAACGCTGACAGTACTAAATAGTTTCAACAAAAACATTAAATTTACTTTGGAAGAAGAATGCGACGGAAAAATCCCATATTTGGACACATTAGTAATAAGAAATGCAAATAATACGATAAATATAAATTGGTATCAAAAACCTACAGCGTCAGGTAGAATAATAAATTACTACTCTAAACACACAAAACGAACAATCAATACAGCGAAAAACTTAATAAATAGAGTACTAACAATAAGCGACGAACAATTTCATTTCCAAAACAAATTAAAAGTAAAAGACATTCTAATTAATAATAACTTCCCATTACATATAACCAAATCCCTAATTGAAAATTATTATAAGAATAAACATTCAAGTCGAGATTCGCAGAAAACAGACCCGCCGAAGATATACAAATCCCTGATATATTTACCGAATATATCAGAAAGATTGGAAAATCAGAAATATATGACAAAAATAAATACACAATAGCACATAGCTCACATAACACAACAAAATCTTTATTCACAAACATGAAAAGTAAAATTCCAAAAATGGACAAACATAATGTAGTTTACAAAATTGAATGTGGTGGTAACAAGGAAGAAAGTTGCGGAAAACTTTACGTTGGCACAACAAAAAACTAACTAAAAACTAGGATGTCAGCACACAAATCAGACATCAAATTAAGAAACAATAATTCGATACAAAAAACAGCGTTAGCCGAACACACCCAAGATCGATGACGTGAGAGTGTTACAAACGGATCATCACTACAACAAGAGACTAACGATAGAGATGCTTCACATCAATAGTTTATCAACAACAAAGAGAATAAACAGCAAAGCAGACACGGACAACACAGCTTACTGCTACAGGCATTTAACAAAAAGAGATCGTGCAATATGCAAATAATTATCAGTGCAATAGTAACACTTGACGGTAGTAGTCACACTACGCTAGTTTTAAGTTTATTATTTTAATTATTTGCAAGTAAGCGCTTTTTTACGTGTTTATGTCCTGTGCTGTGATAATGTTAATATGTTGTATGTTTTGTTATTTAATTTGTAGATCAGCCTGAAGACGAAACTCAAAGAGCTTCGAAATATTGAAAAAAAAAAGAATAAATAATTTAAAAACCAAAAAGTTTGACCTCAAGCTCAAATAATTGCTTTTATTAACTATCCAAAAGGTTGAAAAACCATAGAAAATATTCTTGATCAGCGTAAAATTCTGAGACGATTTAGCCATGTCCGTCTGTCTGTCTGTCTGTTGTAATCTTTCGAACGAATTGAGATAGAAGGCTAAAATTTTGCACACATGTATATTTTGCCAGTAGGCAGGTTAAGTTCGTCTATTTTAGCGACATTATTCACCGGAATTGTTTCAAATTTGGTATTTGAAGTTCGAAATGGGTACCTTCCAAACTTGGTATTTGAAGTTCGTAATAGATACTGCAGCATAAAACAGAAAATGGGCCATGTAAGTCCACGTCTTTGTATAGCCCCCATATACCGTACCCCCAATATTCTGTATTTTAATGATTTTAGCGACATTATTTACCAGGATTGTTTCAAATTTCGCACGTGAAGTTCGTAATGGATACTTTAGCCCATGCCAGAAAATTATCTGTGCAGGTCCAGGTCTTCGTATAGCCCCCATATAACGATACCCCCTATATTCGGTATTTTGATGATTTTAGCTAATTTGTATGCAATCCTGAGAATTTTTTATAGAGCCAAATTCAGAATTTCTCTTGATATTGACGTTCTTCTCCCCAAATTGTACTGAGTCAGAGAAGAATTTCACAATTTTCAATGATCATAGTCTTTTGATTTGAAAAATACAAAATTCCATTCAACTGAGAATAATTTTGGACTCACATATACCTGAGAATAGTGACCCTAACACATATATTAATACCGATTTAATTAACGCATATTGTCACCTGTCGGAAATAAAGATAAATATATACGAGGGTGTACAAATGTTTGATATTGTTTAAACTCAAATAAGAGCGTAAATACGCTTCAATTGTCAAGAAGTGTTGCAGCCCAATTTGAATGTATCGGTATCAATATATGTGTTAGGGTTACTCTTCTTATGTATATGTGAGTCCAAAATTATTCTCAGTTGAATGGAATTTTGCATTTTTTAAATCAAAAGACTATGATCATTGAAAATTGTGAAATTCTTCTCTGACTCAGTACAATTTGGGGAGAAAAACTTCAATATCAAGAGAAATTCTGAATTTGGCTCTATAAAAAATTCTAAGGATTGCATACAAATTAACATGGACAGATGGAGGGCCACATATCGCTACATCGACTCAGCTTCTCCATATATGATGACTGGTATGCTACTTCGTTGGACCAACTTTACGAAATGTTTCAAAAGTCTTTACTAAAGCACAGTTATAACAATCTCTCCACGTATAGCATATAAAAGAGTCTGCCAAAGACTCTCTATTTGGAAACCTTTCAGCGGACAAATTTGGCCGTGTAAGAAATGTTAGCATGAAAACCAGCTTCTGATTTTGAAGAGTACTTTATTTCTCTCAAAATTATTAAATAAATATTCTCCTCTGCTAGTTTTTATACCCTCCACTATACTTAGTATGAAGGTATATTAAGTTTGTCATTCCGTTTTGTAACTCATCGAAACAATAATTTTAAATCTAACCAAGTTTATATATAAAATTTTATGTGGAGCTAAAATTTTGCACCGATCAGTCTTTTGTCTGCAAACAGGTCAAGCTTGAAGATGAGCTTTATTGGTCCACAATATCGTATAGCCCTCATACAATGGTACCTCCCTTTATCCGGTATTTTGATGACTTTAGCCAGATTTTCCAATGGAATTTTCTTAAAATTAACAAAGCAATTTCTTCTGAGTGCTTTGCCCCCTGAAGAGATTTGTTTACATAGGATATCGCATAGCCTTCACATAACGGCACCCCCCAGGTATAGTAATGATTTTAGCCACATTTTTTAATTGAATCGTCTGAAAATCCACACAAG